TTTTGCTAATTTTAGATGAGGTGATGAGAGTTCAGGGATTTGCTGGTTAACACAAGTCAATATATTAATATATAGTTACTGGCACAGAATAAAATTAGAATCTCTTCATAAACATAATCACCTGCAAAACTAGAACATGACTTGTCTTAACCAGCTAATGGTATTTAAGATTATTTTCCAAATGAAACTGTCAGAATTGAGAAGGAATAACAAAAATAAGATACTAAAAAGGATAAGCTCTTTTTTTTTATATAAAAACTACCCTGAGGGGAGTGTAACAGAAGTTTTTTAAATGATCTTGGATTAATTTCATGGGTGAAATAGTAATTTATAATTTTTTTTAAATGATATTTTTTATTAAATTTTGTATAATAATATTTTATATGAATAAAAGTAACAATTTATAATTGTGATTTAAATGATGGTAATTAAACTGGGAATAAAATGGGATATAAACCTTGTTGTGTTCTAATACTGTCTTTGAAGTTTCACTTCTTAACTGGCCTGGCACTCACTTCTTTATTATTTCTTAACATAGCATATGCATATTTGTTTTATATTTTGTTTCTGTAGAGTTGTATTAAGATTTTCAAAAGGGGCCCAGTTTGCCTATTCCTTCCATTGTATGGCTTAAAGTGCTCAATGCAAGTCCTTTAGGGAATATTTTCCTGCTTTTTAGGAGAAATTTTGAAACATATGTAATTTCAAACTAGACTATAGAATGATTGCAGACTTCTCTAATAAATTTAGGGGATTCATGAAATGTGCATCATTTCCACATTGTCTTGAAACTATTATAAGTGGTAAATTTATAGACTGTCACAGACTACTCAAACACATTACTCGATGAAGGAATAACTTACTATCAGCATTCCTGGAAAAAATTAATAGTATACATTAAAAAAATTTGTCTTATTTGCTAGTTCTCTCAGGGCGTAAAATAATGAGAAGGATGGCCATTTTGTGGCTACCTTAATCCAATGATATACAAATTGTCATAGCTAGAAATTTGAAAAAAAATTGATCAATTCATTTTTTTTTACTTGTGAACATTTGGACCACATGTGCATGCACCTTGCATTTACCAGGGCTCAATACCATTATCTCGGTAGCTGGTGTATGTAACTTTTATCAGGGGATCAGCATTTTAGCTGATCTGATTTTTATCCCCCAGGGTTGTGAACCTAGATGGCCCTCAGGCTTTTTGTCACCACTTCATCACTAGAACCCTTATAATGCCCTTGGTGCATAAAAGAAATTAATTCAAAATTCTATCAGTACGGCAGTGAAGGAGGGTCACAGGTACTGGTTGGTTATGCAAGTAATTAGGAACACATGATCAAGTTAGAAAACATTCAGAAAATGTAATTCCTTCATCAGGGCTTACTCAATATTACAACAACACTAATGTAATCTTTGTACAATACACTCGCTTGCAACATGTAACCTGTTTATATGTCTGACTTACAAAATGGCTCATCTCTGTATTGTTGAGTAAAGAAAGCATATGATTCAAAGACACTTGTACATTTATGGTGATTTTTAGCAATGTTACATTAATTCTTCTGAAACACTCACCATTTGTTATAGAAATCAATTTAGGAAGTACTCCTATAATACTTTAATGATTTATAAGATGATGCTAATATATGCCAACCTATGTGGCACAGAGAATTTCATTGACAACCACTCTGCATGGAATGTAAGGTTGTGAGATAAAATAAAGAATGTTGGATATAAGGAATAATGGATGAATTCTAATACATCTAGTATACAAGTACTACATTAAGCAAACTGTATTATAAGTTCTATTCTATTCTATCCTAGCTGCCAATAGATTGTATTTGCCATGTGAGCAATGTGAAACTGAAAAATCATTCTTCTTATGCTGCAGGAGGGACCAGTGGCCATGGAGAGTGGATTGGGCCATATGCCTGACCTTGTGACAGAGGCATCCACTCTTGTTACTATTCACAATGTTGATGATGTCATGGACGATGAACATGTGAGTGGAGACCCTATGCTGGGAGGTGATCCCATGCTATCTTCATTTGTGCCCAGCCCCAGTGATGCCCCCCAAGCACTGGATGATGACTGTATAGATGATGATTCCTTGGTTGGTGACATCGACATGGTACTCATGCCAAACCATCCTACTACATAGTGCACACAGAGACAGTGCCAAAGTTCTGGTGCTTTGTTCTATCTCAAGGTTCTGTTGCTGTGCTAATGTTGGGCAATGACAGAAAAATGTGTAGTGCTTCCAACAGAAGGAATTGGAATTTTCATCATTTATACTTCTTTAACTAGCTTTTCTATAGAAGTGACTCATACAATGATGATTTATCTATCCTGATATGAGATTTTGCACATAGTGCAACTGCCAATGTAATATTTGGCAGCATCTTGTCTTGTAAAAATTTCCAAGTGATTGGAAATTTCATGGTTTTTACTTCTGTTACTAGCTTTCCTATGAAAGTGACCTTGTGCAATGATGGTATACCTGAACTGTAAAGTGAGATTTTGCACATAGTGCATTTGCCAATGGTAAGGTTTGTCAGAATGTTATTTTATAACAGTGTCCAGTTAAGTGCTCTGTTTGATTATTGCACCTACCTGCAACTTAGATTTACACACACAGATGTCTGCGCATGCACACACATACATACATACAGATGACCATTAGCACATGCTAATTGGAATATTTCACATTCTCAGAGTGCAAGAGAAAGGTTGCAGAAGCACCAACAATTACACTGCAATCTTGGGGAGGAGCTCTAGAATAGGAAAGGAAAATGTTGATGATATTTTGTTTTTATCATTTGAATAGTAGAGGGTACAATGACTTAACTGATATTTGAATAGTAGGTAATTATGTCGTTTCATGAGAATTTTTCCAGAACAGTTTTGATATATACCTAGAAGAAAAGAAACTGTCAGATTCATACTAATGTAGGTTTTGAAATTATTCTTCTACTTACATTGTTGGGTTTCAAATTCTTGTAAAACAGAAGAGTACTTAAAATAAAATCATATGAGTTTAAGTTAATTACCTGTAAAGAAAATTTGAATTATTGTAGACAACGAACTGTTAAGCTTTATTGTGGCTACCACTACAGTTATTCCCACCATTATGAAACTACAAGCCACATTGTGCTTGGTCCCTCTCTTCTATAAAGTTCATGGTAAATATTGCTGTAATTTGTAATTGAAGAAGGACCAGTAATTAGGGCTCTTTTACAAGGTGAACTGTGCCTTAGATAAATTTTATTTAGTTGCTGTCAGAATTCCTTGTTGCTTCTGGGAATAGTAGGGCCAGAAAATAAAAGATACATAGTATCATATTACTAGGTCCCTCTCTATCAACTAGGACCTAGAGGGAGCTGAGATCTGGGAAAGGTGTAAAATTGATTTCGTGGGATGAAATGGACCCTTATTTTGGAGAAAACAGCAGAAATCTACATTGATAATCTGGAGAACATATGTATGCCTGTCACACCATTCATTGCCTAAGTGAAGGTAAACCTGAAATCAGTACTCAGAAATATTATTTAGTGGAATATCACAGTGTTATACAATTAATAGCTCAATTGAATACAAACTTCATTCATTTTCACTGGATTCTCTACCAAAAATATGGGTACCAAAATGCTGCTTTTATACATTTTGAGAGAATTGATTATCTAATGGGCTGATTAGGTAGCTTCAAAGCACTGAATATAGTCATGGAAGGTATTGCCAACTCTGGCTCTGAAGCCATGAGAAAAGCAGTGTGCAGTTGCATGAAATAGATAAAATGAAATAAATTTTATATATATGTATGTATGTATATATAATATATGTTGACATGTTATGTAAATTTGAGTACCTTATTACTTTGTTTTAATGTGTCCTGAGAGTTTTCCTTTCACCAGTTTTATTTTGAAATGCTCTTAAAGTCTGCTCAGAGCCTCATTCAGTTATCAAGTTACTTCATATGCTTCCAATACTGAATTTTCCATTTAATGGAACACAGCATCTATATGGTATATTTTATGCCTTCTTACTTGTTGAAAATTATTCCACAGGTAGATAGTATTTTCTTTGTATAAGACTAGCCTTGGAGAGAGAATAATTAGAATACAAATAATTAAATATTGAAGCAAGTGCTTTTTGCCTCTCTTTTGTTAGATCTTATTTTACTTCTTTTCCTTGGCTGTAAATTATTGCAGACTAAGATAGTTTTGTTTATCTCTTCCTGTAATGATTGCTATAGGATGGTATGTTTATCAGAGAAAAATTCTGACTTTAATTTTATACTCTGGATTGACTGAAGGAAACTATGATAACTGTACAGAATGTTACTCTCAGTAAAACTGGCTAAATGTTATTTCACATATGAGCGTATTTATTTTTGTCATATATTGTGAAGCAAATACCAACTGATTTTACTTTTTAACAATATTCATGTATAATTGTTATGTTTGTGTCACTGTTGTGATGTATTATGTATAGAGAGAAAAGATATTATATAATAGAAAGCTGTCTCTTTAGACTTTCAAAATCTTGTAGCACTTGAAATTCTTGTGGAATTTTTTTAAACTTTAAAACAAGACCATTGTTCAATTTTGAATGGGAGAATATTGTTTTTCTGGATCACCTAATACATTCTCTCAAATACTTGTGTTTTCACCACACAAACTCGAAGAGCTAGTGTTTTCATCACAAAAATTTAAATAAACTAGAGGACTGAAAACTTAAACACTTTTAGCACTCAGCACTACAAGTGTGTCAGCATTAGCACTCCAAAACTCTTCTGAAAATAGTTAACTCAACTGTATCCCAAGTACATTGAATTTGCATATGCAACTTTCAAAAGAAATTGATAAAAGAATAAACAAGGAGTTTTCATGATTATGTAATATCTCTAAAATTGAAATCTTTCTGTATAGCAAGATCTAATTATTAAGAAGTTGCACATGTAATTATGATTGTACTGATAAGATTTTCAACAAAACAATCTCCTAATTTCGTAGGAAAATGTGTATCCTATTTGTAAATTTGTTTTTCTTTGTAAAGAATATTGTTGTTATTATTGTTATTGTTTTTTGTCTAAAGTTTTGCATTCATTTCTTTTTCTTCGTTTTGATCAGCACTGTCAGGAAAGTTGGTTCCTGAAATATAGGCGAACTGCACAAAGGATAATTACTCTTCCTATGCAAAGTTTGGCTCACTGGTATATGGACATTCTAATTCCTTGTTATCTGTTGATTTAGGCATTTTATGATAATGCCATTATAAATATTATGAAAATTGTTACTGAGATTATTTTACAAGTTGTTCATGAACAGTTTAAGACAGTTGATGAATAATACCCAATGCTTCTGATTGAAAAGAGCAACTTCATGAAAAAGAGGTGTTTTGGTTTGAATGATAATCCTTCCTGATAATCTTTTCTTTTTTTTTTAAAAACAAAATATTCCATTATTCCGTGTTAAAACCTACATCATTAGAAATTTTATAGTTATTTTTTATATGTTTATTTTAAAAGATTTAATCAATGTTATTTTGTGCAGAGATTTCAAAAGTTATAAATATAGAAATATATTTTACATTATAATTATGAAGTTTGTGAAAAAGTTGATTATTCACTTGTTACATTAGTGATCAGAATTGCTGAAGACCCTATAAGCATAGTTAAAAGACTGGAAAGAATTATGCTTATTATATTCTTTATGGAAAATACCATATGAAATTATGGGTGAACTCTCTTGATTGAATTTCATTAGTGCTTTCTTACAAACATTGTGGAGTCCAAAGACAGGAACTTTTTGTCTGTTACTTTTCAAGCAACTCGATTTGATCTATTTCTTTAGTACCTACATTTATTAAGAATATAAGACTGGTGAAGACAGTGAATTGCTGATGAAAGAGTGCTGTTTCTTTCCTTTGTGTGTTTGGAGCCAAAATTTTGTGTGAATGCCATTAGTAGCATCATCTTGTAGTGTAAGACAATTCTGTGATGACTAAATGGGGCCTGTGTCTCAGGGTTTCTTGTCCGCCTTGATTTGTGATGTACTCATTATGACTGAATGGTTCTACTTTAAGAAAATTTATACGTATGTATGTATATACATTCGTATATTAATTTACATGTAGTAATTCATCATAATAAAGGACGGAAGTATTGTTTTTGCTTTTTATTTTCTTGCCCTGTCATGAATAAATTTAAGGAATACCTAAGGTGTGTGCACCAGTAGTGACCATACTTAAGAACATTTCCATAGTTTTCTTAACATTCTTGAACAGTTTACATGCAGTTCAGAAGCAACAACTGATTTACTGTGTAATGCAAAATGAAAACTTTATATAACATTACCACACTAATACCATATCACCACACTACATCTGGCGAGAGTAAATGAAGTTAATAAAAGCCGGATTCCAGTGCTTTGTAATGCATCATATTTGTAACACATAGTTACATAGTATTATTTATTTATGAACAAAGTATCTGTTAAAAGCAGGTGTCATTCACAATACAATACTGTAGAATATTGTATGCATACTATTGTACTGTACAATGTATATGTTACTGCAGTCAGAAGCTCCAATCCAATCCAATCAGAAGCTTTCATTGCCTACATGGCAATGTACATTAAATTAATTCCAATAATATTCTCCAATTTTGAATCCAGACATGAATATCATGTGACCTTCAATGGATCAAATAAGGATTATAATGCAGCTACTAAATATCTGATATATTTAGTGAATAAATGCTTCTATAACATTCGAACACTATTCTCAAGGATAAACATTACCTATACCAGAATAATCCTAGAATATGATCACTGAGTTTGGCACTTCAGTTCCAACAGAAGTGTTCTAGAAAGAGTACAAAAAAAGCAGCAAACCTGAGGCCCCTTTGTTTCAAAGAGTCATGCTTCATTGAATCTACCAACTTTACAAAAGAGACCTTTCAAGACCTTGAACAATTCAAGTCAAAATTAAATAATTACCTGCAATCAAATTTACATCTTTCACTTTCTTTATTGTAAATATCTTAAACATTGGATTGAATTGTTTGATAAAGTACTTAAAGATTTTTGTGGATCCTGAATCTAAAATGGAGTATATAAATAAGAACGATGGCCACAGAACAACTTGCAAACTGCATGTGGCTCCAGCATTCTGGTATGGCTCTTGGAAAAACTGTCGGTGAACTGAAAATTATGTAATTATCTACTAAGAGAGTTATTCCCATTTTGAGGAGAATCTATTTGCGTGAAGTGAAAATATAATATCTTTAATTGTAGATATTTGTAGTATGAAACTTACTATTGTGGGATTTATGGTGTTAGTGAAGATGAGACAACTATATTCAAGGCCAAATTTTATGAAATATTACATAATACTTTAGACACAATTGGAAAAATTGGGAAATACTAGTAATAGGAAATCAAAACAGAAGAACAGAAAAGAAAAAGCGGCGGCGATGGTGTAACGGTTAGCGTACTGGACTGTTGTACCCAAGTTGGCGGGTTCAAACCCGATCGGAGCCGTGGATTTTTAAGGGCGAAAAAATCCTTCGTACGCCTTCCTTCGGAGGGGAAGTAAAGCCGGCTGTCCCATGTTCGTAGATTTACTTGCATGTAAAAGATCCTCAAGCCTAAATGATGCCTCTGAGCTAAATTCAAGTCGCCTGTTTCTCGCCCAAGAAATACCTCCTTTCTCTCCTAGTTGGTGAAAGGAGCGTAGCGAAATTTGCGTGGTCAGACGGAAGAGCGGGCTTGATGGCCCGAGTCTCGCCACGTAAAATAAGGCAAATTCAATTCAAAAAAGGTAATGGATATTTTGTAGAAGATATAAGCAATGATAATGGTGAAAGGATAATTCATTTATGTGTATAACGTTCATTAAAAATTTTTGATGGTTTTATATGCATAAAATATTTACAAATTTACTTGACATCAAGATACATTAAATTTAAAATCTACAATTTATTATATTATTATAAAACAGAATATAAGATTAAAGGTGCCAGATGTTCATGAGGATGGTGATCATTATTTGTGAGGGTTAAATGGCTAACTTGAGGGTCTGGCGAGGATTACCCCCTCTAGATGTATAATCCCCACTAAAAATCATGTATAATCGCCACTAAAACCTCCTGTAATGGGAATACTCGATTTGGATCAAAAGTCAACAAGACCTGCTCTCTCCTCCTCGTGCCAGCCCCTGGGTACTCTCTGAGGTGAGAATTTAGAGAGTAGAGGGAGGGCAAGCTTCTGGCATCTGAAAACAGGAGCATTTAGACAAGGGAAGGAAAACCCTGACAGAAAATCATGGGTTGAAAGAGCTCTATAAAGTATAATGTAACTTATCTTTCTAAAGGTGTAAACCATACACAAATCCCGACCTAAATGACAACAGATTTGGCACAAGGCCAGCAAGCTTAATCTAAAAAAAAAAAAGGAGCCTACTATGAAGTCAAGACTATTGAGAACTGGGTGGACCCGTATATATTGACCTATGCAATGTCCCAAGATTATGAGAAAGGATTTAAGAATAGCCACTTAGAATGTAAGAACTGTTTCAGGCAGGAAAGTAAGAAGAAATTGCTGAGATACTGAAGAAATGTGAAATGCAAATTATTGCTTTGTAGGAAATAAGATGGCATGATATTGGGCATATAAAAAAGAAAGAGTTTATGCAAATGTATAGTGGCCAGAAAGGACAAAAAAGCGTAAAGGAACAAGATTCCTCATAAGAGGTGAAGCATAAAAGTGTATAATGGGCTTCGAATCCATCAACAGAAGAATATGTAAGCTATGGATAAAAGGCAAATCTTGTAATATAACAATGATAAGTGTACTCTCCAAGAGACAATGTAAAACCTGAAGAAAGTAAGAAATTCTATAGCCAAGTGACGAATGTGTGTGATCTAGTATCTAAATATGATATTTTATTGATTCTAGGAGATTTAAATGCAAAGAAAAGGAAACATCAAATAGTAAGGTAGTAGGTATCTATACAATACATTATGTAATAAGTGATAATGGTAAATGAATGATACAGCTGGTGCAATCACAAGATGTTATTAAGCAGCACAAGATTTGCCCATAAGAATATTCATTAACAGACTTAGAAAGCACTGAATGAAAACATGGTAAATCGAATTGATCATATACTGGTGTACAGGAGAAAAGCAAGATGTGTTATAGACCTCAAAACATACAGGGGTCTGAACTGTGATTCTGATCACTTCTTGGTAGGAACTGAAGTATAATCAAGAATTAATTCTGAAGATCTAGGAAAATGCACTAAATCTAGAAAATGGAATGTTGACAAACTTAAAGAAATGCAAGTGAAATTACAATGTAGAACAGTGATAGAATGTGCTTTTGAAGAAAATGAAGCTTCTCCAGATATAGAATTGGAATGGGATAACATCAGAAGCTTGATACTAAATGCTGCTGACAAAACTTTGGGAGTAATGCCCCAGGGGAGGAATATGTGTTGGTATGATGATGACTAAGAAAGCCATCACAGTAAAAAATGAAGCAAAATGTAAACTGTCTCCTTAAAGATACTAGAATGAATAGACAAAACTATGAGCAAAAAAGAACTGAAGCCAGGAAAGTATATAGGGAAAGAAATTTTAAGACAGGAAACCAGAAATCTTTTGGAGGACAACTATGAGATGGTCTGCTGTAGAAAATTCTACAAAATGATGAGTATTTAACAAAAGAATATTAGCCAAGAGTTAAAAAAAAAAAAAAAAAAAAAAAAAAGGGGGTAATGAAAGCTCCTGCAAATGACAATATAATGCTGAACTCATACAAGAAGGAGGTGAACAGCTGCCAACGAGGATATATGAATTGTTGAAAGTAATATGGAATAAAGAATTAATGATCGGGAAATGGCAATAGTGTGCCCGATCTATAAGAACAGAATGCCATAAACAATAAGGGAACATCCTTACTTAACATACAAAATATTAGCGGTAATCATAAATAATAGATTAATAAAATATACCAGAGATACACTTGCGATATTCCTGAATATCGATGTATAACCTGCAGTCCTGACAAATTTTTCTTTGTTTCTGTCAAATGTTCTGAAGTTTTATACTCTGTTATAATTCCACTCTGTTATAAAAAAAAAAAAAAAAAAAACACCCTGTGTTTTGTGAATTACATCACAAAACTATGCGATACATAAGAGAACAAAAGAGAAAGAGAGAAACATACATAAGATACATTTGTTAAGCCAATATTGTTATTTTTGTTTTTTTGTGCCATCTGATTGCTGAAGAATAGATAAAGAAAGGTACTATGTGTTTTGAATCAAAATGCATCTATTTTTCTCACAATGTGTTATTGCAGGAAAATCTGGAATGCCAAGAGAAGAATGCCATGCCATGCCAAGATGGAATGCCATGAAAAGAGCTCATTGTATGACAGTGTTTTAATATCGACCAAAGCCATGCTTTATTTAATATTTTGTTTAAATAAATATTAAATTTTGTTGAAATATTTCACAAATTTTGAAATGGAAAAATATAGAAATGTCCTCAATAACCTAGAAACGTCAAGGAAATTCATCTTAGAAAAAGGATTGTCCCTCTGTTATTCTTGAAAGTGAAATGTAAGTTATCTTGATGTACTATTTAGTTGATTACTTGATGTACTACTTCTTTGATATACGAGTTGCATGATATATTATTTAGTTGTATAAAAATAAACAATTTGTTCTGAAATATATTGCAGATATCCTGAATTCCATTGTTACCCTTATGGCAACCCTACTTGGAGAATACCAAAATGGGTTCCAAAGAACTTGATCTAACATGAATAATATATTTGTAATGAGGCAGATATGATATGAAAAATGCTATGAGCATAACATAGAACTGTACATGTATATTGACTTTAAGCAAGCATTTAATAAAATTATCTAATCCAAATTAGTTAAAAGACAGAAAGAAATAAGTATACCAAACAAGTTAATCAGATTGATTAAGATGATTGTACAGTATGCATCTGGTAGAATTAAAGTAGAAAATCTCCTATCTGATTCTTTTGAAATTTCAGCTGGGATCAGGCAAGGTGATCCACTACTGGCAACTCTATTTAATCTAATGCTTGAAAGTGTAACCAGTAAACTGAAATTAAAAGGT